ATTGTTGTATGTTTATTACAAAAAATGGCGCAATAATAATTAATTGGCAATTTCGTTATTAAATACTACACCAATTACAAAATAAATAATGCCATTAAATTTCTTGTAAAAATTGGCTATTATGAAGTTATTTTAAAATTTGTAAGTGCAACCGTTTGGTTTCCTATAGCGAACAAAATAAACAAATAAACAAACTTCCTCTTTTATATATATATATAAACATATATTAGTAACATTGTTGTTGGGGTTTTATAATTACGAATTTAATCATAAAAATACGTTGACAATGACTTTCACTGGCTCATAATATTATTTAAATTTATGTCAAAAATGTTGAAATTATATGCTACAAAATTTTTCTATAGGCTTGATTGGTATGATATAATTTTTGATTGGTCTAAGCCGTAAACAATTTAACATTGTTGGGCATGTGAACATGACTTTGTACTTATAGCTGGTAGCTGGAAACTTTAGCAGAGAGAGAGTTCAGGACGTCTGCTAAAGTGGAAGATCACTAGAGTCCAGGACGTCCTTTAAACTGGAAGATGTCTAGAGTTCAGGATGTATATTAAACTGTAAGCTCAATAAATAGTGAGTTCAGGACGTACGTTAAATTGTGAGAATCCTGACATTATCTCTTACAGTGTGAGACATCCTAACATCACCTCTTACAGTGTAAGACATCCTGACATCATCTTATACAGTGTGAGACATCCTGACATCATCTCATACAGTGTGAGATATCCTGAAACCATTTACAGACGATTTATGCATAAAAAAGCTACAGAGTTTTGACACATGTTGAAACAATTAGCCTACCCTTTTATTTGTTGATTAAAAAGTAAAAGTGTTTGCCACTAATTCGTTTTTTGTTTGTACGAATATCATTACTGTGAATAGTAGCATTCTTCGGACGTTTGTAAGCTGCATCTTCTACATTTTGCTGGCTAGTATCCAATTTCATCATTTCTAGGACGCGCTCTCCATGCTGCCCTCTTACGGAACCATCATGCATCCTTTCATTCTTGAGAAGCTACCATGATGATGAAGTTGTTCATATTCGCTCTCGTGGTCACGGGCCTTTGGTGGGTGAGAGTAACGAGTTCGGTGTGGTCACAGCTTGTTAAGCACATAGGGTCTTGGGTAGTGACAGTGTTTCTAGCTTACCTACTATCTGATGGACTTTATTCAGTCTGGCAGAAGTACAGAGGAAAAGTTTCTTCCAAACAAAAAGCTGTTTTGATTTCAGGTATTTATGTATTACAAACTTAGAATTCATTTAATTTGGGTTTGTTTTAAGTCAAAACTGTAATGTAAAATTACAAACACATGTTTCAGTAACTTCCACGTTATACACAACGTAATTTGATTTTCTATAATTCCACAGTGTTCTTTGAACAGTTTTTAAGTATAGTTAATAATAAGGTATTGTTTATTTAATGGGAAGTTTTACTTATATAATATTAATGTGCAGTATGTGCTCTGGGGAGAATTCTGATCAATGAATAGGGAAAAATTACAGATTTAAAAAAGAATTTCAATCGCATGTTCTACAGGACAGAGGGTAAATTTATTAGAATATAATGTTTTCAACCTTATTTACTTGGAGGGCGCTGTGGAAAAACGACATCTTTCTTGTGGAGTTAACTACAACATACCTAGAACCTAGAAAATAGGGAAATATCTCTTGTTTCACACAGAAAGTGTAATGTAACATAGCTCGAATATCAAAGAAAGGTCAGTTTAAGGATCAGACAGAAAACTGTTAAGCTCATGCCTCACCAGCCCAATGCAAAACAAAATTAAAATCCTTCTCAAAATTTTATTTTTTTGCCGTTTGATTGTACTAAAATGTTATGAAGATTTCTTTATCATTTTGGTTTACTTAGTTGAAATGTTTCTATAAGATTCAGTCACACATGAATGACTAGACTTACATTTATACTTCAGACTTTGGATTTTTTTGCACAGAATAACCGATCGCTGTTATTAAAACTTTTAATCTGTCGCTGGTTAATTTTGTAGAAAAATCCAAAGTTTGAAATACCTGCGTAAGCCCAGTTGTTAGCATACGGTCAGAAGTTACCAAGGACAAGTTATAAGTTTAATAACAGCGATTGGCTATGCATAAGTAGTTTTTAAAATTATATTGTAGGCTATATTTAATTTAGAGGTTTCAAAAAATATGTGTTGTTTGGTTGAGAGAAAGTTTGACGTAACATAATGAACTTATGGCCTAACGTCTGGAAACTTCTCTGAAGTTTTATAATAGTTCGAGCAGTATAAAACGCTAGCTCGTCCTTTCAGCCTTGGGGGCGTTATAATGTGACGGTCAATCCCACTATTCGTTGGTAAAAGAGTAACCCAAATTAGGCTAAAGTAATACATCAGGACACGGTTTTCCATATATGGTATGTCGAGATCGTTGCGAGAAAGAGGCTGAGTATTTTGACGAGTAAAAAAAGCAGATTCTCTTCATTCATTCTACCACAACTACAGCCATTATAAAAGTCATAAATATAGAGTTCCACAAACAAATATAACTTATAAAACCTCGCTCCTTTCCAAGGTAAGCTTTAATAGTGCACTTGCTTTTTTTAGGAGGAAAATAAGTGGGATAACTACAGCCCTATAGGCGATAACAGAAGCTTTTTAGGCCTGTAATATAGTTAACAACCAGCTCTATACTTTACACCTGGCTGTATATGAACAAACCTATTCCCTGGGAGATAAGTTAGCTAATTGGATAGAATTGTAGCTGGATGGAAAAAAGCAGAGGGTTCTTATAAATGGAGCTTAGTCATTCTGAATTAATGTCACAAATACTCTTCAAAATAAACGCGCTCAATATGGCCGCCGAATCATGTCCTGGTGTATTGTCAGTCAATTAGTTCACTGCTCTAAACATTAAATTTGCAAGCGAGTGAAATTGTTAGCGTCCATAAAGAACTTAGGCCTGTTAGTGAACGTTAGGATAGCCTTTTTATAGTTGCAGAAAGAGAAATAAAACAATATTCCTTGTATACTTATCTTTTTTTTTAGTAATAAAAGTAATCCAAAAGACCAGTAATAGAAGATATTACAAAACTTTGAATGCTTGTAGTTGTACAGAATAACTCCATCCCGTAGCTCATGAGCGCTTCACTTTTTCTAAATTTGATTTTACAAAAATTATATTTGTATATGTGTGTGTGTGTGTGTTAATTATTTATTATATTTTTCACCAGAGGTGAAATTGGAAAGATAATCTGTGATGTGAAATAGAAAAGAAATATTTAACATGCATGTACAATCAGTAAACTTTTGGTCCACTGTATAATATCAAATAATGAATTCGACGAAATGTCATAGCATTTTTCACATACCTAAATGAATTTAGGTTAATATATGGCAAAGTAAAACGAACTCAAATCATCATAGAAGAATTATTTATAGTTGTTTTATGGCAACTCAAGTAAGTATTAAACCAATGTGGGCCTATTTAAAGGATTTAATTAAAATCTTGTGTGTATAATGCAATTTGTTAATCATAAGAACATATATATATATATATGTTATATTGATATAATTATTAAAAAATGTTCTTAAGTGATGTTATTTGAGAATAATAAAATTAGAGCAAAGGCACTTTGGGCTATCTGCTGTGTCCACCGCGGGAAATCGAACTCCGGATTTTAGCGTAGTAAGTGAGTAAACTTACCGCTGTCCACCCGGAGGACAGGAAAAAAAAAGGAATATAATACTAGCGATTACAGTATTTTTCGGAATATAAGACGCACCCTTATTTTGAAGACAAAGTTTTTGGGGAAAAAAAGCTACAGTTGCATATGAAAGATTTTTATTGAACAAAAATCAGTTTGATACTTTGAAAATTAGTATATATTATTATAAACATAAAAGAGCTCAAAACATCAAAATAAGAAAATACCGTAAATCAAAAAAGGTTTACCGTTATTTAGTTTGGTTCAAAACCTACAAAATCTTCATTGATTTC